TCTCTCTCTCTCTCTCTCTCTCTCGCAATTCACACATTTAGGGAAGAAATGGAAAAACTCTTTGGAGGCGATGATAAAAGTGGACACTTTTCTGAAGACAAAAATAAGTAACGAAATTGTCTTCAAATTAATTTGACACTAATTTCTCAATTCTTTACAACTTATAGTAATCACAGAAAAAGTATCTCAAATGCCTCTCAACTCAATATCGATTCGTCGGATGAATCTAGTGATGAGGAGCCGGGAGTCTGTCATCCCGTGCATCAAAAACTTCACAAACTTTTGAATCGATTATCACAATTCAAAATGTTGTCGTTTTTGAAACATAAGTCCAAAACAAAAGAGGAGAGAATAATAAACAAAAGGAGAAAAATGAGTCAAATATTGCAAAATGCTTTCGACGAAAATGAAAGAAATCAAGTCAGTTATAGTGATTATGTTTTTTTTGTGTCAATCAATCACTTGTTTTATGAACATTTCAATTGTTTTTGTGCAGACATTATTACGCAATAGTGTAACGAAAGGGCAGTTAATAAACAGAGAGAATATTAAACAGAATATTCTGTCACAACGACGAGCGTCGAGAGCGTCGACGGGTGACAGGAATGGGTCATCAGTTTCTCGACAGTCAAACACATATGCGAACAAAATAAGGCCTCAACTCCTGAGTCCTACACGTCTTGAATCAAGTGACTATAGAAGACGTCTTTCGCTTATTTCTAATATTTCTAATATTGAAGTAATCGATGAAAACTATAAAAAATGATTTATTATTTATAGTTTTCATCGATTCATATCATGGATTATATTTAATTATATTTAATTAATTATATTTTTAATTAATTGATTAAATTCTAGTTTAAATACAAGTGAAAGGATTTTAACGATTAGACTGTGTTTACAGAATACATAACAGAATATGTATTAACGAAATCAATATTTTTCATATAAATATTTCATTGTTTGTGCAATATTTGTATTCATAATACTCTACTTCTAGTGCATTGTATTTGCAATAAAATTCATGCGAAAACAAAACAATTAGAAATGATTTATGAAACTTTTTATAAATATAAAATTACATTTTAAAAAATATAATTTAAAATAATCACCATAAGTGATTAATCATTCAAAGATACATAACTTATTAAACTGGGATGCAAATAATCTAGGCTATAACCTAAATAAATCAGGGAGCCAACAAGCTCACAAATTAGCATCGTGATACAAACAAAAAACAATTAACAATTGTATAAATGTGAACTTAGCAAGGTTAAACCTAACGTATTATAACAGTAAAATTGCTCAAACTTTGAAAACTTTACAAAACTTTTCTAATATTAGTCTCAAAGCCGTGACAGAAACGAAAACTAATAAATTTGGATATATCTGGCGATGCCTTCAAAAAATTAACATTAATTTCTATAATAATATGTTTTAAATAAATCATTTAAATAGTAAAAAATGTCTACATTAGATGTATTCACACAAAATATATATTTCAATAATTCATTCAAATGGGTATAAGAAGCGGGCAATCGATTGCCACATATGTTTTGAATGGCATTTAAAAATAGAGGCATTTATTATGAGAGTAAATATTGAGCGAAAAAATAGTTTGATTTGTCGACAAACGCAAGCAATAAATCATTGTATGACAGGTTTGGGCACAAAATGGGGGACACAATACTCACCACTCTATGCGAGACATAATATATGGACAGTCGGCAGACATTCACACCATTTGTTTTGAATAGAAAGGCAAACATTAGTTGTGTTGAGTTGTATAGAGTGTACAGCAAATAGTGAGTCGTTGTTATCGCAGTTGTGGTCATAATAATGAGCGAATCGTCGGGCAGTCGAGTGTCGGCCACTGTTGTGACCGCAGGAAAGGGCGACCGAAAGCGGACGGAACGCGTGTTCGACGCGACCAAAGCCCAGTCCGACCCCAAACAGGGCGGCGGAGGAGGCGATGGCGGCCTCTCATCGCTGTCCTCATTGAAGCGGTTGTGCGGATCACTGGAGACATCACTCAACCAATACTTGACACAAATCATTGACGACGAGAACGAGCCGAACGCCGAAGTGGTGTCGGCCCTCATCGCCGGCGACGCCCCCTCTCTGGCCAGTCATCAGAGTGTGTATGAGTCGACCGCACCTGCGGTCGGTGTCGACACCATTGCCTCCACAGCACAACAGCACAGGAGCCACAAGACTCAGGCCTCGGTCTCGGCCGCCGATGCCTACGACTACGGGTCGGCGCCGTCCGGACGCCGGGCGCCCAGCGATGGCCCGAAGCAGAAGCGCTGCAAAAACAAATAACACCTCCTTTTGGACGCCTTATTAGCCGTTGTTTTGAATTAAATTTGGCGCCAAATCTATGAGTTAATCAACATTTGACTGCAAAACACAACAACTATTATCTCTCTTATGATTTGAAGTGATTGTGTGTTATTGTAATCACTCGACGACTGACTGACTATTACTTCTTCTACTACTTCTTAGCACTCATTTTGTTCATTACATTTCAATTGTATAACAAATATATTAATAATTATTTTTTTAATTGTATTTCAATTTGAGATAAAACGCGAGTAAATTGTTAGCAAAAAACAAAACCATATTATTATATATTATAATAATAATCGCATAATTGGTATAAAAATCATGTCAAACAATAATAGTTGTGATAATCGATTGGAGAGAATCAAAGAGAGGGTCCAGTCTTACCAAGACTTCCCCAAAGCGGGCATTTTGTTTCGGTATTTGTGTTTCAATATTGTTTCAATTGTTTCATTCATTTACATACACTTAACCCTATCATACCGTATATAATAATCACATGTTTTATTTATTATTATTAATCGTTGTTTTGTTATTATTGTCTTTATTATTACGATTATGTCCTCAAACTCTTTGTCTCAATACCTAATCCGTCGATTGAATCCAATTATAATTCATTATAATTATATTATAGTTAATCCGATTCTCTTATCCCAGACATAAAACTATACGATTATTTACATTCACTTAAACCGGTGTTCACTATAAGTGTATTTTATATCCGAAATGAGTTAAACTTTTTTAAAAACATTCAATTCAAGTATATATAAAACAAATTATATAACAATTCATTTCTTATTTCACTTATATTTCATTGATTTTTAAATAATTTTGTGGTTTAAAAGAATTCAATTATGACTTAATTAATGACTTATTAATAAAAACGACAATTCATTTGATTAATTATTTTTATATTTATAAATGAATAGCGATTTTTTGCCAGTACTGAGAGATCCGCAAGTGTTCAGCGAATTGATTGAAATAATGGCCGAACGAATTGAGGCCATTGAACCCAAACCCGAGGCCATTATAGGACTGGAATCGCGTGGATTTCTTTTGGGTACACCACTGGCCCTTCGCCTTAAGCTACCCTTCATTCCTGTCCGAAAACCGGGCAAATTGGCCGGTAATGTGAAGAAAGTGACGTATTCTCTGGAGTACGGAACCGATTCACTTGAAATACAAACACAATCCATCACTACTGGCCTCAAGTGTGTCATTGTGGACGACTTGATCGCGACGGGAGGTTCGCTCAAAGCTAGCGTCGATTTGGTCAACGCATGCGGCGGTCAAGTGGTCCTCAATTTGGTTGTCATGGAATTGGTTGCCCTCAACGGCCGAACACACATTCCCTCACCGTTTCAGTCACTTCTTCAATACTGATAACCAATTGTTCGTTAATTACAATATATTTTTCTAAATGATTTTTACCATAAACTAAATAATCATTCTTTTTTTGAATGAAATATTTTTTCTGATAATAATTCTTCAAGTATTTGCGAATTAATGACAAAATTACTGTATTTCTTACGAATAAAAATCTCAACGAATTGAGCGATAAATTATTGATTGCCATACGATTGTATTTTTAAATATCATTTTTAATCGATAATATGAATGAGAATTTCGTCAACAATTTCAATATAAATACATCACATTTGCTCTCAAATTCCCCAAAACATTGAATTTATTAATCACTTTTCAAACTGTATTTATATCGTTAGCACTGAAACCACAAATTAGTAACAATTTATGACTTCATTTATTGGGCGTTGACTTAAACTGGATTTTAATTTTAAAACATTTTATCAAATATAAAATTAATGAAAAGAAAGGGGAGAAACAGTGTTATTGAAGATTTATAAAATATGTCAATCTTAAGAGTGGACGCGTTGACCGCCCCGTAAGGCCAGTACCAGATGAAGAACCGAACCACCGGTCACTTTGTAATCGGCGGCCGTCTTATCGTCGTTCATCTGTTTGCCGGAGAAGATGAGCCGCTGCTGTGCCGGAGGAATGCCTTCCTTCTCTTCCACCCTCTCCTTAATCCTCTCCACTTTGTCCGTCGGCTCGATGTCTATCTCGATCTGACAACACATACATATCATATGAGATTCAATGACTACGATATAAACTAAATCAAATCAATACCTCTTTGCCGGTCAGTGTCTGCAAACCATTGATGAATGACATTTAAAAATGTGACAAAAGATATAAAACATGTCAACGATTAGTCATTGATGGGGACATACCTTAACTTTGATGAGCATTTCTGGTGACAATTATGGGATTTATTAAATACTAGTAAATAGTGGACTAAATGAATGGCTTGAATGGTTGAGTAGAAGTGGTATGAGATGTGGTATTGAAATGTGAGATACAATTAGTGACCAAACGATATGTTAGTCAATGTTTTGATCGACTTTTGCAATACAAAAAAGTGTTGAAAACCGGGCACTGAATGTTGAGCGCATGCGTCCGACACTCCATTCAATGCAATGTTTGCGTTGAGCGCCACTATTGGGCAGTAGTGGACACACAGGCTATGAATGCATTACAACTTCAATATCACTGCCACTCCTATCGCAACACTATTCCCAACACTGACTTTCCATAGCCTTTCACTACAGGCTATAGTGAATGAAAGCCAACCGTCAGTGCGCTGTAGTATCGCTACCCATAAGCCATAGTAAGCCAGTGCTGTGTCTCACTGTGTGTTGTGTAGTGCAGACCCAATATGTGTGATATTAGTGCACATTATGTACACAAAACTTAAATTGAAAAACTTTTTGTTCGTTTGTTATCATCAAAAGTTGTGATCACTTTTACAATGAGTTGGTTTGCGATTCATATGTAAACTAAACGATGAGTTCGTGAATGGATTGATTGGTTTGACAAACAATTGCCAGTAAGTGATGAAGTGATACAATAAGCGATCGGCACTCAAATCTCTGGCCTTTCCGTCACATAAAGTGTATTCAAATAGTTGTGTGTTTTCTGTCGACTCTTCCGTCGTTTGGATGCCATAAGAAAGAGAGAGACGAAAGACAAGTAAGTTATGGTGAAAAATATGTTCAATTAATGTGTGTGTTATGATTGTGACAAATACTATGGCATTTGAATGTGTATAAGACATGTGAGTGTAGTGTAGGCCCGGGTATGGCTGTGTGTGTCGGGCGAAGGGATGGGTGTTTTCCTACCTGTGTTTGTGTTGTTGTGATTGCGTGAGGCTTGAGGTGAGCACTAACTGGTATAGTGTATGGCATTGTAAGGCATTGTATGCTATAGTGTATGGCATTCCTGCGGCCAAAAATGATTGTGAGAAACATTTTTCTCATATGTTTTGACTACAGGTATAAACACATATCAAAAGGAGAGTGGAGTAGAAGTTAGAAGTTTTCTACAACTATTATATAACTGGGTATGAAATGCACGGCATATACTGTATAGTGTGCTAGAGATAGGGCTGAAGAGCAGGTGTTTGGCAAATACCACACCTGCGATGGATAGGAGACCCGCACTCGTGCTCTACCTATTAGTTTCATCTGACGATGACTTTAAAGACTATTAAAACCATTGAAACCTTCAAATGAACTCATGGTTTCAGTCATCTATGAATTGATGGCAATCGCACTCAAAAACTTACTCAACAAATGTTTTAAACGATTATTAAATAACTTTCTGTTTGAAGTATTTTTCATTGCTTTTTGTGCTCTGATTTGTGGACTGAGTTTAATGGCAGATATGGACACAATTTATGATCAGTTTATTGGATTGTAAACTAAACTATTTGTCAATTTATATACAAATCTATTATTAGTTTCCATTTGACTCCCGATCTGACAAATGTCTCACAGATTTAATGTTATTTTTGTGTTAAACTACTCGACAGTAAACTAAAAGTTAAACGTTTGTCGTCTTCTCATGACTTGTCGTATCGATTGGGTTGAAGACCACAACATATCCCACATCCGATCCGACGCTAAATAAGCTTTTTTACCAATCATTCATCCCATTCTCTCTCTCTCTCTCTCTCTCTCTCTCT